GAATTAAGGAGACTCTAATTTGTATCAAAGGAAACTCAGGGAGAAAGGTTTGGAAAACAATTATAATTACTTTTGTGACGCTAAAGGCATATTTTACAAGCAAATTTTCTAATACAGGAAGTAAGCGATGACCTTTGGCCTCTGGAATAATGTGATTAGGTTTACAACTGATAGCAATTTTCTTTTGTGCTTTGGAAGTCATTGTTTTTGAATGTGACAATAAAAATCTGTTTAAAAGCTGTTTATTTATCCCATAAATAAGTTGTCTTTTGGTAATTAAGTGCTATTAAGTTGCAAATGTTCTGATCGTAATGCTTAATTGAAAATGTAATGAAATTCTGAAAAAGAGTTGAAGAGTTGAACACCTGAGTTTGGGATCCCAGAACTCCTTGTGTTTACATTATACTATCAAAAGACGTCTACGTGCAGGTTTTCTTTTAAATCAGAACTTTGATGTACGTGGGATCCACAGGGGGTTTTTTAAAAAGCTACTTGTACATCTTACAAATCATCGATCATGCAATTGAACCTGCCAGTCAAAGAGCTGAGGTAAATCCCTGCTGTGTGTGGAATCAGGACGCCTGATGCGCTGCAGGCGATTTGTAGCGGTTAATGGGAGCCCAGGTATCGGCTGAGACTGTGGTCCGAAGCATGAAGTCTTCCTCCTGGTTAACTCGACTTTCAAGGTGTCCGTTTGATTCCATTCGCCAGAGCAGTTTGTTTCCCAAGTGTTCATTTATTAAGCTCCTTCTGGTGGCAAAGGGCAGATACCTGGAGTCACCCCAGGGAGGCGCTGCAGAGCAGCAGAGGGAGCTGCGGGTCCCTGCCGGGGATGGGGCTGCAGCTCTCGCTGTCGGACCCCAGCCCGGGACACACCTGCGGCCACGGAAGTTGCTGCTGCCACGCTGGCAAACGCTCTGGATGCCTGGGTTTCAGCTCCCCAAGAAAAAGGTGTGATCCATCCCCTGGGTCACCAGCGAACATGGGAAGCACATGCCGGGCCACACCCGAGGGAGACCAGGAGCCTGTCATGGTCCCTGCACGGGGCAGGACAGCAGGGTGCCAGGGCAGAGAGTGACCTCAAGCACACGGGTTGTCACATGGTTGGGGGCCTGGCACCCACGTGTCCTGAACGCTTCACAGTTGGAAGGGTGTGTGATGCATCTGGTTTTATAGAAAGTGGTGAGTTTGGGGTTATTTTCAAGGCACGCTTCATATGCTGTTCCTTGAGATATGATTTTATGAGACAGCGTTGTTTTTATCCACCCCAACACGATGGTCATGGTGTTGCAGGAGAGGCCAGGTTTCAGCAGAATTCTCAGGCATCTCCACTGAGCACGCCGTGTTTGAGCACTGAGACTTGCAAGTGTCCGAGATAAAAAGTAGCAGCCCGGCCCCACCCTCCAGAGCTGGGTTCAGACGAGGGCTGCATGGGCGGAGGGTGGCTGAGGGCCTGAGTGGGGCGGCGCTCGCCTCCCTGTGCCACGGGCTCCTCCGGTCTGAGCCTGAGGGGCTGCTGTCCCTGCTGGAATGTGACACAGGGGTTACCACCGGTTCAGCGTTAAAGGAATTAAACCTCGTGTGAGAGTTAGCTCAGTGCAGTGGAGCAAGCACCTCGGGGCCCGGCACCCGGAGCAGGTGCAGACACGCGGGTCCTCCACAGACTGGCGCACACGAAGTCCGGGCACTTGTTCCGGCTGAAGCCTGGGCTCCGAGAGCTGCTGCGACGCGGGACTTGCCTTGTGCAGAGCAGCGGCGCGTGCTCCGTGAGTGTGGATGTGACTCCGAACCCCTCCTGGGACTGCTGGCAGGGGTAAGCGAAACCAGAGCAGTGGAGACAGCCGGGAATAGGCCTGTGTCTTCCGCCGCTGCCTCTCGTCTCTCGCCGAGCGCCGACGTCTTCCTCGTCTCAGTGTCGGGAGCATCTTCCCCATGTTGTCTTGCAATACTCGAAAGTGGGGTGTCTTTTCACTTACTTAGATTGTCACAAGTTTCTTTCAGCGATGCTTCATAGCTGTCAGCAAACAAATCTTTTACTTTTTAAAAAAATGTTTAAGAAAAGTTTTTTTTAATGGGGCTTCTGGGAAGTTCCTGTTGATGTATGGGGACCACGTCTTTGGTAGTGTCACATGGTAAACGCAGGAACAGGTTCAAAGGCCGTTTCTTACCCTGTCCCAGCCTGTATGTGTGTTGTGGGATCCTGGCAAGTGCAGGGGGGCTGTAGGCCGGCCGAGGGGTTCACCAGGAGCCGGAGGAGCAGGTGCTGCCGGAGACAGAATGCAGGGGCCGCAGGGTGTGTGGAAGGACCTGGGTGGCCAGGAGAGGGGCAGGGTGATTCCTGGGACCGCACGTCCAGTTCCAGTTGCTGAGGAAATGCTGGCTGAGTTTGAGCAGTTTGGGGAAAATAGGCTGTGGTGCAATGTGTCCGTTTATCTAGCTTTGTCGTGGTTTGGCTTGTTTTTGCTATAGGTTCGGTGGCTCCCACCTCGAGCAGGCTCCGCCTTGCAGGTGGAGCCAGGTGCCCACGATGCAGGCCGAGGGTCTCACCCTCCCTTCGGTGCAGGTGCAAACGCAGGCGGCAATGTCCGCGCTGACAACCCCAGGCAGAGGGTGCAGGAACCGGCATTCCCATTGGGCGGGGCCAGGCAGGGACCTCTCCTGAGGGCCTCATCCTCTCTGCTCTCGCACTGGGGCAGGTGGGCCGGGCCACGTCCTGTCCCCAGAGTCTGGGACCATCGCCAGGCCCAGCCAGTGTTGAGTGTGCAGCCATCAGCTGGGTTTAGCCAGAAAGGGGAAGTGCTGCCCCCAGACGCCACTGTCCCCATTGTGGGCAGCCGAGTGTTGGATCCAGGAGGTCGTCCCATCTACGCACCTGGCCTCGGTTTCCCCAGACTGCAGCTGGGGTGGATGCCACTAGTGTGAGGGTGGGAGGAGCATCAGAGGGGCCTGCCCCGGGAGGCCTGCGGCACCGCACACGGCGCCCGCTCCATATGTGTGTGCTGTGCTGTTAGTTTCTATTCTCACACTCACAAGACACTTGTTGGAATGGGTGGGCCTCCAGCCTCATGCCCCACAGTGAAACGTGCACTTACATTCTGTTTGAATTTGGGAAGACAGTTGTATGTTAACAAATAATGACTATAACTGCTGTTTTCTCTTGCTTAATAACAAAAATGGTGCCGTGAATAGCTGGAAATTAGGAAGCTAAGATGCTTTCCACATTGGGTTTGTTACCTCATTTTCACAAAGGGAAGTTGCTGGCCCTTGAGTATTTATTATATGCTGCACAGACGTATTAAAAAAAACTAGTTTGAGTGTTCATTACACTCTTTATTATTGCCATTACTCACAGGGTGTCCCCGTCGTGTGTTGTCGCAGTGATGTTGTGTTTAAGAGGAAACGCATGAGTTTCCGCATGTATCAAGGAATTCAACCCTGCGCAGTGAAAATGAGAATGTGTTATCAACACATTGCATAATCCAATTTAATTCATTTCAGCTAAGTTTTTATCTCTTATGCTGTCCTTTTATGTGGCCACATTCATAATGTAGCTTCTGGGCTAAACATTAGGCAGAAGCAGGGTACGTGAGTGGAACGATAACGGGCTTGTGTTTAACGCCGAGGGAGATGAGAGTTGTGTAAAATCGCGTGTTAATGGGAAAACAAAGCGGACGACAACAGGAAGACAACTTTATGCTGCTGTAAAGTCCGGATTACAGAACCTAGTTCTGCTATTTATCAGTTGAATATTGAATTTCCTTTGAAAACTTGCTTTTAATTACATTAAAATGTAATATAATATAAATATTACCCCCTAATATATCAAGGTGCCTTCATTATCGTTTGGCTGTTTTGGAAGGGCAGGTGCTGAGGTTGCGTTGCCGCCCCTCCTGTGGGTTGGTGTCGGCACCTGGGATGGGGCAGGGCCGCGCTCGCTCTCTGAAGTCGGGGGTCCTCCTCCTCGAGCTGGGGGCTGTTTGCTGGGGGAGTGCGGGAGGGATCCCTCCGCTGCCCTCAGCAGGAGGAACGGCCGCCACTTTGCTCAGAGTCCGCTGGGGTTTCTCAAGAAGCGTTTGTGTTCTCGCACACTGTGGACCCCTCCTAGCTGTGACTTCTTAGAAGTCTGTGAAATTACATCCTTTCTTTATACGTCTCCCTGTCCCAGCTGGCCTGGACAGCAGCTGTCCTGGATCCGAGCAAAGGGGACATTTTGAGCCCACACCTTGGACTGGTCTTTCACCCACCGCTGCTGGCAGGTGGTGATGTTTTCTCCACATCAGTTACCTGGAGAGCTGGGCTTAGGAGGTGATGGGAGAAGCCTCATAGCTCCCTTCCTGGTGTCCCTCTGTACCTCGCGTGGGGGTCCAAGGGGTGGCCCCGTGGGTTCTAGGTGTGACTGACCAGCCCTGGGATTGCAGGTGACACTTCTCAAGTCTGGGACGGTGGTGGGGAGAGAAGGGTGGGTCAGGGAGACACTCTTGGTGGTGGAGGAGCCGCGGGGCAGGAGCGAGTCCCCTGAGCTGAAGCCAGGGTGCAGGTGGCCCAGGGAAGGGGTGTTGGATGGGCCTGGGGGGCTGGTGCTCCCTTCCTGGTGGGATGAGGAGGAAGGCTGGACATCATGACTAACGAAATACCAGGTGTTATTTTTCAAACTTCTAAAGCTAAACCACAAAATTCAATCTAAGTGGAACATAACTAGGTTTTTCTCCCACATTGTCTACTTAATACCAGAAAATCAGAGGCCCGACATAGCTCGTAGACAGTAAGTATTTGTCCCTGTAGGAAATCATTCAGGAAAACAAAGCTGGTTCCTAATATCCCACACCTGGGGACAGCACCTACGAAGGAATGACTGTCCACTGCGCGCCCAGACTGAGAGTGTGCACTGCTGGGGGAAATCGCTCTGTGGGGCGTCAGATATCTCACTTTCTAACGGGGGGGGGGGGGTCTGTCCATGTGTCCGCTGAGCTCTAAGTGGCCTTTCTGTGTTCTGTCTGCAGACCAGCAGTACTCATGGGCGCCGGCTCCGCACTTCAATGAGGAGCGGTACTCGCCTGCGCCGCGGAACATGAAAGGACTGTCCGGAAGCCGCGCTCAGCCGCAGCTGTGTCCCGGCCACACCTGCGGCCTGGCGGCCCCCGAGGACTGCGAGCGCGCGCACGAGCACATGCATCATGCGCAGGAGGCCCGGCAGCCCTACCTGCTCAGCCCGGCCGACAGCTGCCCCGTGGACCACCACCGCTGCTCGCCGCGCAGCTCGGTGCACTCGGAGTGCGTGATGATGCCTGTGGCTCTGGGCGACCACATGTCCAGCAGCACCTTCCCCAGGATGCACTACAGCTCGCACTACGACACGCGGGACAACTGCGCCATGTCCCACGCCGGCGCGAAAATCAACCGCATCCCGGCCAACCTGCTGGACCAGTTCGAGAAGCAGCTGCCCCTGCACAGGGACGGCTTCCACACCTTGCAATACCAGCGGACGTCCACCGCCGCGGAGCAGCGCAGCGAGAGCCCCGGGAGGATACGGCACCTGGTCCACTCCGTCCAGAAGCTCTTCACCAAGTCGCACTCCTTGGAGGGCTCCTCCAAGAACAACGCCAACGGGACCAAGGGCGACGGCAGGGCGGACGACCACCACCACGGCCACCACCCCAAGCACGGCAAGCGCAGCAAGAGCCGGGAGCGGAAGCCCGAGAGCAGGCACAAGTCCGGCATGAGCAGCTGGTGGAGCTCCGACGACAACCTGGACAGTGACAGCACCTACCGCACGCCCAGCGTGCTGAACCGCCACCTGCTGGACCCCCTTGCCCACTGCTATGCGGACACGCTGCAGAGCCCCTTCGGGGACCTCTCGCTGAAGACCTCCAAGAGCAACAGCGACGTCAAGTGCTCGGCCTGCGAGGGCCTCGCGCTGACGCCGGACGCCAAGTACATGAAGCGCAGCTCCTGGTCCACACTCACAGTCAGCCAGGCCAAGGAGGCCTACCGCAAGGGCTCCCTGAACCTGGACAAGCCGCTGGTGCCCCCGGACATGAAGCCGCCCTTGAGGTCATGCCACTACCTCCAGGTAAGGGGCCGCACAGGCGCCGCAGCCGCCTGCTCGGTGGGCTCTCAGGTCACTGCTCTTGTGGTTTCGGTTGACAGAGAAGAATTGTGTAAGTTCTCAGCACACAGCACGGTGTTGTGAAACATGGGCATCTTTTGGGTGGGCTGCGGCCAGCTAATTCACATGTGCGTTTCCTCACACGTTTATTTTTCTATGGTGAGAACACTTAGAATCTACTCTCCCAGCGATTCAGTGAGCGCAGTCGCCGTGATGCACGTACAGCTCTTGCGCTTGCCCCTCCTGCCCCCCTGAAATGTCGCCCTTTAAGCAGAGTCTCCCAGCCCAGCCGCCTGCTTCTGCCAGCCCTGCTGCCCGCTGCTCTGCTTCTGCCTCCGGCCGCAACTTTGTTAGGTTTCACATTCCAGCATGACACCAGTTTGTTTGTCTGAGCTGGGCTCATTTCTCTTTTCACAAGGTCCTCCAGGTTCACCTGTGCTGTTGCAAACGGCAGGGTTCCTTCCTCTGAGGCCGAGTGCGGCCCACTGCGTGCATGGACCATGCTTGCTTAGTCCATCCATCCGCCGGTGGACGCTCCAGCTCACTCCACATCTGGGCCGTGGGATCTAATCACAGGGCTGGCGGGAAATCATCGAGAGCCCCTGGGCCGCCCTGGGAGGCCTCGCGACATCCCTGTTCCGCCCTGGCGCCAGCAGCGTAGGCACGACAGGCCGTTCCTATCAGGCCTCTGAGGCTGGAGTGCTCAGCAACAGCGACGGAGAGACGTCAGCCCCGTTAGTGTTTCTCATGGAAAGTTGGTGGCCCCACAGCAGAGGCGCTGCCACTTTTGTAAGTTCACTCCCCACTCCCGACAGTGGCTTCTTTGAGCCTCACAGTAGCCAGTCTGGCTATGGAAAATGCATCTGTTTCTCTGGGGTGTGGATTAAGTGAATTTACCAAAGGCAAAAGCGAATTAAATACAGTGATCGCAGAACTCGCGTACTGTGGGATTCCCTGTTGTGTGTAATTCCCTCCGTCTCCGAGTCATGGGCCCCGAGGGTGCAGGTGGGCGCAGCCCTCGGGAGACCCCACTTCAATGGCACCTCTGCACGTCCTCCTCTCGGCCAGCAGCACCACTGACGACACCTGGAGCCTCAGTTTTGATAAATGCGTATCGTGGCTACGCCGTGTCCCAGCTCACAGACCACATCCACCTACCGGTGACCAGTGGCCGCAGGCCGCGCGCTGGGTCAGAGAAGCCTTCACTGATGCGAAGTCGGGGGGCGCTGAGTCAGCAGGAGGCCAGTGGACGGGACACCTGAGCGGCTTCTCAGGAGTCCTGGGCGGGAAAGTCGTTTCGGCAACAGCAATTGCATCCCGGCACGTTGTCCGAAACTCGGTGGCTCTTTGTGAGAGGAACTGCTAACCAAATTGCTTTCGTAGACCTATTTATTCAGAGACAAATTGGTAGTTGGATAAGATATTTGTTTTGATAGCAATGGAAGAGGCTCAGATTTTGCTTGCAGTAGGAAACCCTAATAAAATCCAAATGTGAAAATGTTTCTCTCTACTCGTCTGAAGGAACGTGGAATGTGGAACGTGGAACAGGGGTTCACTCTCTGTGCCTTCGCTGTTACAGAAGCAATCCTCTCTTGCTGCTTCTGTGTGAACCTGGGGGTCGCTAGTTCAGGGTCCGCGTGGTCCCACGAGATCTCTGGCCAGAAGATTCATGAAGGTGAGAGAAGGAGTAACGTGCGTGTCTCCTGGGACTCGCTGAACTGATGTCCTGCGTCTCTGCGTCTCTGAGGACATCCCTCCGGCCTCCCCGCCAATCGCATTACGCTTTCCGGAGGGAAGCTGTGGGTTCCTGGGTCCTGTGGGTTCCTGTGGATTTTATCCACAGCCGGGATGGAGAGGAATTAGAGGGATTCATCAGCAGGGGCCATAGTAAGAGTAAGATTTTAGAGAATAAGACAGGAGAAATAAACGTTCACAAGCTCTCTGCAGTTTTTCACCAAACACTAGAGAGATTTCCAGCTGAACAAAGGGGTTACTTTTTATTTTCACCTTCGGTTTGCACAGAACAGACAGTTAACATTAGAGGGAGATTTTTTTCCCTGTTTTTAAGAAAGTGAAATAGACGATAAATAAGACTGAAATTCCTCTGCCAAGATCCTGTTTTTGTATTTTCTGCATCAGCAGACAAAGCTCCAAAGGTCAAACTGTTAGTGAAGCTCGTGCGGGTGTCGGCAGGTGACCCACCGAAGCTCTGCTCCACGCAAATGGCCGAGTCCGCAGCACAGGAAGCTCTGGGGACACTTGGGGAGGGGAGGCCCTGACTGGGCAGAGGGAGAGGACAGTGCGGCCTCTGCCCCGTCCAGGGGGAGCCCCGTCCTCCTTCCACCCTCCATGGCCCCCGGCCCGGGCATCGCCCCCACCCCACCGATGGGGGTCCTCGCGGCCTCAGCCCCGGCCTCTCCAGGTGAAGGGGCCACAACTCCACATTTTCAATCCACTGCTTTATTCTCATGTCTGCCGTGTTCACTGGCAGTAGATGCCTGGCTTTTTACACGCGAAGCTCGTCGGTTTCCACAATTTGGGAACGGAAGCAAGAAAAGAACACAGAGGGGAGGGGTAGGATGAAAACCCTGAGTGATGACATTTCCCCACGTCTAGAAAGTGTTTCCACTCTCCGCCGCTCCTTCCCGCAGCGGGTCCCAGCGCCTCTGCAGCCCCAGCAGGACGGACCCCAGACTCTGCCTGCCTTTTGGTGCCAGTGAGTGTTTAGGTGTGAAGTCTGTGATGTCTCCAGTCATGCACAAAAATACGTCTTAAAAATTCCATCTTTCCCAGCTACACTTACTGAACAGATTATCTGTGCGGTACAGTTTGGAAAAGTCTCCGTCTTTACAGAGTGGGGCCAGACGCCCTGTGTCTTGTTTCTACAAGAAGCATTTATTAATAAAAGGGCTGTCAAGGAGAGCACAGTGCTGGCCCCGGGTGTCCATGCAGTAAAAGCTAAACTCTAGCGGAGAGTCGAGGGCTGAGGGGAGGGTGGCCTTGGAAGGCCTGGGGACCGTCTCTGGCTGTCCTGCTGCGGTGCCCACCCCGGGTGTTCCTATCCCATCTCCCTGCGTCCTCGCCGTTCCTCACACCCTGCAGCTCGGTCTGTGTCTGTCGGGTCAGTTCACGGTCTGGCTCTGGGAAGGCTGGTCCCGGCCTGGGCCCTGCATCGCCCCACACCCCTCAGGGTCCCACACGCAGAGGTCTGGGGCGGATGTGCCTCATCTTGCACTGGAGCACGCCTGCTCCGGCGCTGGCCCCGCAGCCTTCCCCGTCACCCCGGGCGTCTGTGGATCCACAAGCAGGTGAGCAGGACGGACTGACGCCCCCGCCCCAAGGCGTCCCCGCATTTTCAGAAGGCGGAACTGTGGCCTCTCAGGCATTTTCAACTTCAGAGGACTGATGATTCTGACAAGCTCCTCAGAAAACTTGCCCGTTTTAGTAGCTTTAGAGGCAAAAGAGAAAGTTGTTGTAGGTGGGTTCGTAGCCTTAGGGATACCCAAGCTCTCAGCCAGGGCCACCGTGGTGGTGTGCTTGGTGTCCACACAGAAAACGCACACACTGTGGAAGCAAGGAGACATCTCCCTGAGGGAAACAGCTTTGGATGATAATATTCTTCCTCGGTTTCAACTCCTGAAAGAGACTATTACTATAAAATCCTGGCCCCTTCCACCTATGTTCTGCCGCTTGAAAGAAAGTATCTTTTAATATGCAGTGTTGCACTGTCCTTAAAGCAGGAACCAGGAGACAGCCAAATGTGTGCCGATGTCAACCCTACCAAAGTGCCTTTAAAGAAACATCACAAGCACCCCCCATCGCTGTGTGCAAGTACTCGGTGATGGGGTCACGGGTGGCCGTCAGATGCAGCAGAGACTGCGGATTGGACTTGCAGAGCCCGTAGCTGTCGTGAGGAGAGTTCATTCATTCATTCACTCATTCGTTCCCTGGAGGTTGTGCAGCCGCTCCCAGATTGTATCCTTGGCCACCCCTCTGTGTCTGGCGCAGGTTTGTAACAGTAACTTAACGGAGAAGGATGTATTTCCTGAGCACAGTGGCATCTCAGTATCCCTCCTCTGCCTTTTGATAGTCTCCAGACATATGCTTTGGAATCGGCGTTTGGTGCTTGAATCCATCCTCTGAAACTGTGGTTGACACTCAGAAATTCCTCCGTCAGAGACTGCAAAATTGGCTCCTTAAATCAGAAACAGAAACATACAAGCTGGTCTCATTTGTTAGTTAATTTGCAGGCTGCTGAAAAAAATCTCTACTTTGTTTTCTTATGGAAGCATGTTTTTAATTCGCTAGAAATCCCAGGAACCTGCCAGAGTGAATCTCTCCCCTGATGGCAGATGGGCCGCGGCTCCATCTGTGCGGCCAGCCTCAGCCACTTCCCGGACCGCCTCCGCGGACGCTGGCCAGGAGACGCTCTCGCGGGCTTCCCCGCCTCCGCTTCCTCCCTGACCCTTCTGCGGTTGGACTCTAATTAACGAGGACCCAGCGCTCGCCTCGGGGAGCCTCCCTGGCGCCCGGCCCCTCCTCTTGGCTGAGAGCACCCAGCGACCCTTCCACCCTCGCCTCGCGCCCTAGTTACGCTATAACTCATCTCATTTCATGTCCAGTGCCGAAATGAATGTCACTGAGGGCTACGGCTTTTCTTAAATTAAATATGAGGCATTTTTATTACAAAAGCAATATATGATCCATGCAGAAAATTTATAAAATATGAGTATGAAGAAAAACACTGGAAAAGCCTGTGCCCCCACCTTCCAGCAAAGACATCTGCTCCACCTCTGCCTGCTGTCTGTGCCCAGTGCAGAAACACCTGCCGTAGGACATTACAGCGTTTTGGGAGATTCTCTTCTCCAGCACGAAGGACATGCTGCCTTAGTTCCCTTGAGTGCAGAGCTGCATGTGACAGTGCGGTTGCTATGTATTTGGAGTTCTCCACACTCGGCTGTTGTATGCGGTGTTTTCTCGCTTTTGTAAATGTGAATTCAACCCATGGAGGCAACTTTACCCGGAGCCTCCAGGTGGCTGTTCACAGCTCACGATCCCCCGGGAAAGGAACCCTGTGCCCTGAGCTGCTGGAAACACGGTATTCAAAAAGCTCCGTGGTTTTTAGCATGTTCTAGAGTGTGATCTGAAGTTTCACGTGTGTAGGTGAATACCAAAGTACTGACCTGCTCTGCCATCTTCATGGGTTAGCCTGTCCTGAAACTGGAAACTTAACACAAGAGCACTGAGCAGGCACTCTGTGGGGCCTTTGTCGGTAACGTGTAGCGTGTACAGGTGTTCAGTTCTGTACTGGGCAGGTAAATATAGGAGTTCTGTTCTCTACCAAGCAGCCTGTGTGATGAGGCACAATGTCCTTTTTCTTCTCGGAGCACAGGGATTGTGCATACATGCTATAGTTTGGCTTCTGGAGGAACCTCACTCCTTTATTATCTTGCAGTTAAAGGATAAACGTACAATAACGCAGGCACTTTCTTCCTCATTTTCTTCTTTTTCTCTTCCTTTTCTTCTTTTTTTAGTTTTCTGAAATTTTAATTCTCTTTTATACTGAAAGGAAATGAATCTAAATGTTAGCAGTGGTTTGTGTTACCTGCCAAGATTACAAGTGTTTTGTTCTCTTCTACTTTTCTAACATTTTCTCACTCTTTCCACAATGCTTGTCTATCACTTTCATAATGGGAAAAGAACGATAATTCCATCTTAATGTCCTTTTAGGATTCGAATGGCGAGTGCTGAGAAGCATCTATTTTATGCATCTAAGTTTAAATGACAAGTGACCGTGACGAGCTGTGTCTTCAAGGAACTGTGGAGAATGTGTCCCCCAAAGAGCCAGTAACAGGACTCTGAACGGCAAGAGTGATCGTGTTTTGTGTCTGTCCTGCCCAGGTGCCCCAGGACGAGTGGGGCGGCTACCCCACCGGGGGCAAGGAGGAGGAGATCCCCTGCCGGAGGATGCGGAGCGGGAGTTACATCAAAGCCATGGGGGACGAGGACAGCGGCGAGTCGGACTCCAGCCCCAAAACGTCGCCCACGGCGGCCCTGCGGCCGGAGCCCCTGCTGAAGTCCCTGGGACAGAGGCCTCTTGGAGACCACCAAACGTAAGTGAGACCCCTGCTTTTCCCTCTGGACGTGGCTTCGCCGTTCAGATACTTCCCCCTTCACAACGACGTAACTGGGAGCCAGTTGTCCGCTCAAACTAAACTCCCGAGTTGGAAATATTAGGCCCCTGGCCAACAATTTTCAAGTCCTTTTTTTATAAAAGAACAACTGGCCCTTTGGTTCCTTATTTATTACACAGTAATTAAGGAAATCTGCTCGGGCAATTCCTACGTCCAGTTTTACAGTCAGTGGGACACATCGGCTCTTTCATATGAGTGGAATTATCCTCACCAGGACGAGCGTGTTTCCATGCATGTGAGTGGGCGTACCTGGGGCGTGCGCGAGCGTCCGTGTGAGTGGGCGCACCTGGGGCGGGTGCACGTGTCCGTGTGAGTGGGCGCACCTGGGGCGAGCCCGAGTGTCCGCGTGAGTGGGCGCACCTGGGGCAGGTGCGAATGCGTGAGTGACAATCATGGGGATCTGCTGTTCGCTATAACCTTACAAGTGCATTTCTATGCAATAGGGGGAGGAAGTGGACCGGCTTACCAGATATAATGCCACAGGCTCTGTATAACCTGCCAAAGATTCAATATTAATACATTTAGCTGATTTCCAATGTATGAGCAGATAAAACTCTGGGAAGTCAGCCATCCACGTGAACTATGGAAGCAGGACTGTGCCTTCCCCAGCCTCGTGGCTGCACATCCTGAGCCCGCTGCTGGCTGGGGTGTGGACGCTGAGGGCTGCCTGGAACAGCCCAGCTTCCCCACCGGAGGCTGCGCGTTGTCCTGGTGAACGGAAACGACGGGGTGAAGCAGCCTCTGGGTGCCTCGCCGGTGTTGCCTGCCAGTCATTAATCATCGTGCACACGTGAGACGATGCCGCTGCAGACTGAGGTGCTGTCCTTGTGCCGTTCTCCACCGTGCCAGGCGGAGAGGGTGATGAGTCGATGCTGGTGTGATTTCTTCTGATAAATCCGATAATTCGTTACCAATAGCTTGCAGGATGAAAAATTGAAATTTTCAATTGCAACCAAATCTTATAAATCAGAACATAATAAATCTGAACCAGAACTTCTTTACCTAGTTCAGCTAAACTCAAGAGCTCTGGTGTCAGAATGCCCAGTGCCAGGTGCCCTGAGGTGGGGACCACGGTGCAGCTCAGGCCTGTCTGGGCTCTGCCCTGGCGGGAGGCTGTGGAAAGAATGGCTGGGGACAAAGCCGGGGTCTGGCCCTGAGAAGTGCGTAGACTTGGAAGGAAATGGGGAGGGGGCGCTGGCTGGCCAGGAAGCATTTAGGAGGCACTTGCTGTGGGGGAGCTGTGTGGGGGAGGGCGTGCTGGGAACAGAGGCACGTCGGTGACCGTCTGCTCAGCAGGGAGGGATCGGGCTGGGCAGGTCTTGCCCACCTTGTATCTGGGGCACTTGCTGGCATCTTTGGGAATTATGGATTATCTGAAACCTCTCCTAGGGGAGGAAATGCACCCGCGCGGCAGCTGTGCTTAGCAGGTCTGGAGGCTCTGACACCCACCCTTAAGCCGGGGGCTCCGAACCCCCGCACAGGCACCGTCTCTGAGCCTTCGCTTTTAAACCTTCGTGATTTGCTTCATGCCTCTACACGTTAAACCATGAAAGATAAAAAAGCAAACCATCTAACATCTGTGCTTCCTAAGTGTATTGGGTTACGAATTATGCTGCAGGGATTGGTCTTTCTAGCAATTATGAGCAGTGTTTTCACACAAACAGGGCTCCTCCTCCTCCCCTGCCCCGCCCCGGGACACCGTCACTGCTGCCTCTCCCCACGTTGTTACCGTACCCTCCTCCTTTAGTGGTGGATACTGTGCCGTCACCCTCCTCTCTTTAGCTTGGGGACTGGCCCAGAGTCCTGCACGAGGTGCTCAGGGGACTCTGCTAGAATATCACATGTATAAAACCCACCTCGTCACCTGGTGTAGTTAAAACTCCTTCCAGAAGCTGGCAGAGGGAGGAAGAGCCCACGGCCACATGTCAGTGTCATTGCAAGTTGGCCAGACTCTTCCCGCCCAGGTACGACCCCTTCCAGGAGTTCACCCCCAGAGGGCCCCAAGCACCTGACCAGAGCGTGTTCCACCACGTCGAGCCTGACAAAATTGGGGGAAGATAAACGAAATGTGTCACCTACCAGTGGCCCCGTCCCAAACCCAAGCCAGCTCCTGCTTTGGCCCCCCAGGGCACTGTCCGCTCGTTGCAGAGACACCCCGAGAATCCATTCCACTCCTCCGTTTACCCAGGAATCCCCTGCTCTGTTGATCAGCCCAACAAATGTCGAGGTATCATGCGAACCTCTCTTTCTAAGTGCTCAAATCATTCTTTCCCCGAAGTCCGACACCACGATGTAGACCACAGTGGGGCAGCCCTGCGAGGTAGCGGACAGCACCGACACCTGACGGTGACCTTCTCTGACCCCTGGCGCCCATGGGAGCGCTCGCAGCTGCTTAAGTTAACGTCATCTGATATTTTGCCAGTAAATTACATAAATAGACCGTCTTTATTCTCGAGTTTATTTTATACTCAAACCTGTTTTAAACAAAATTGATCATTCTGAAATCGTATTTAAAATCTGCTTGGAGATCCTTGGGTTTAGCTGTGCAATGAGTGTTTCCCTTCTCTGCACCACGGTGCTTCCCTGCAGGAGCCGATTGGCAAGATCCTCTGAGACGCTGAGAGATTCACATGATAAAAACAAGACGGAGCGTGTGCTCATCTCCATGGGTTTTATCCTCCCCTCGGCATGTACAGATAACCTCCTCGAACGTTAACAGTGTTGAAGAATGCAAATGCAATGGCAAGATGAACTTAGTAACAATACCTTAATTTTAATTCGATAGGCATGGGTTCGGGTTCTTGTCATCAAATTATCATATCGGCACCTTCCATCTGCTCTGGGTCACATAAGGTTCCCTGCGTCAGCAGTTCCTTCTGACTCTGCCTCGCTCAAGGGCGGGAAGAAGGTGGGGTCTGTAGTGGGCTGTTCTCAGGCCTCCTTCAGAGCACAGAGCACAGAACTCCTGTGAGGGCTGAGATACTTGCTTCAAAAAGCCCCACCTCTTGGGACAAGAGAATTATCCTGTTGAAAACTGTCTTGTCTTCCTGCTGGTAAACTGAGAAAAAGAATCAGTCCTCTCGTTAATGATTTAATGTACATACATGTGAGCACTTTCACTTACATTTGCGATGTTCTCTAAAACAGCGCACATCCGTAGAAAGCCTTTCACTCTCAAAGGAGAAATAAAAGAAAAACAAAGAAGCAAACACCTTGTCACAGCTGTCCTGGTGCCTTGGCGCACAAGGGCTCCAGCAGCATACCCTGCCCGTATGCAGAGCACCACGTAGAATTATCATCAGCTAATTGAAATGCAAATTTCAAGTTACTACTGAATCCAATTTGCTGCATTTTTAAATTAGTTTATGCATTAGTAGTTGAGATATTGGACTTGCTTATATATTAATATTTGAGATACTCGAATAACCAATTCAATTTTAGGTGTGATGAAAGGTAGACTAAATAATTTCATTTGGAGGCCTTTGCTTTTTTTCCTACTTACTTGAATTAAAAAGTCAAAGCTCTAATAATTTTGAACATGTGTGAGTCATTCTCCAGTGAAGATACCATTTTAAATTTTTAGAAAAAGAAGAGCTTATTTCGAGGACTTCTTCATATCATTCGTAAAGATAAATTCCGATGAATTAAATATATAAGCATAAAATCATATATATATATACACACACATACGTATGAATATTCTATAACCTCGCGATGGAGAAGAGGTTTCTAAACATGATCCAGTGGGAAGAAGCTATAAGATATTGACCAACTCGAATTCATAAAATTAAAAACTTATTCATGATAAAAGCAAACAAACTAACAAACTAAAGTACTATTACTAAGATTATACAATAATAAAAGCCTGAGAAGGAGTTTTTCAGAATAAGTAACATATATTCATATTCTTAATATATAATGATGCCTTATACATCAATAAGGAAAAAAATGAACTCTGTAATGCAAAAATGAATAATGGCCAAGAAAAGACTCATCAGATCACTATTGCACACCCCCGATGGGTAAAACTTTCTGAAGAGCACACCATTTAACACTGAAAATGTAAGATTTTACTCTCGAGAAATTCCTGAGAAGCGTGTGAAGCTGTAATGCACACGATGACGTTCACTGTTTCATTACGTGTCAGCGTAAGAACTGGAAGGTAGCGGGTGCCCGTCAGTAGGGGTTGGTCTGGGTGGGGCGGGAACACAGAGAAGCGGATCAGTGTGACAGAACAGAGACTGTGGCCACCACAGGCTTTACATTCTGCCTGTCAAAAGATGTGACTGAGAACATGAAAAGGCAAGACGTCGAATAAGGGAAGATATCTGAGATATGTACCTGACAAAGGAAGCAGAATACGTTAATAGCAAGAGCTTCTACGAGACAAAAACATAAAGACAGATAACCCCCAATAGGGAAGGGGAATAAGGTTGATGTCACTTCTCAGCCAGCTCAGCTCCTGGCCAGTTGTCTCGGCACCCGGCACAAACAGCGAGACAGCACGAGAGACCCGTCTGTTTCCAGCACTTACTATTTACCTCCGTTTCTACTGTTCTACACACGACGCCAGACACTTCATCAAAACTTAGGGGACACAGTAAAAGAAAATAAAGCTCACTCTCAAGAGACAGAGCAGTCAAGAGAGGACTCAGGCGTGACTCAGGTGTTCCAACAAACTGTGGGAGGAAACAGAGGAAGCTGAGATTAGTATGATGAAGGCTCCCATGAAACAGAGGGACCATACGTGCACACAAGTGGGAAACAGCAAAGAGATGAAAGTTACAGGGCAGAGGCAGAGAGAATACTGCAAAGGGAAATCACGGTGTCAGAATAAAGAGTTTTGTAGACGAGCTCATCTGTGGACTTGACAGCCAAGTCACAAACTGGTGAACTTGGAGATAGGCCCAGTGTCATCA